GTGCAAGACTAATATGCACAAATATGCAAGACTAATTAATATGCAAGACTATCTAATAGCACAAATATGCAATTCTAATTAATATGCAAGACTATCTAATTAATATGCACAAATATGCAAGACTATCTAATATGCACAAATATCTAATATGCGAAACTAATGTGCACAAATATGCAAAACTATCTAATATGCACAAATATGCAAGACTAGTATGTGCAAGACTAATATGCACAAATATGCAAAACTATCTAATATGCACAAATATGCAAGACTAATTAATATGCAATACTATCTAATTAATATGCACAAATATGCAAGACTAATTAATATGCACAAATATGTAAGACTATCTAATAGCACAAATATGCAAGTCTAATTAATATGCAAAACTATCTAATTAATATGCACAAATATGCAAGACTATCTAATTAATATGCACAAATATGCAAGACTAATATACAAGACTATCTAATGTGTACAAATATGCAAAACTATCTAATATGCACAAATATTCAAGACTATCTAATTAATATGCACAAATATCCAATATGCACAATTATGTAAGACTAGAATTCACCACACAGTGTAGATAGTGACATAACTATTGACAACCAAAAAACAAATCAAGTAAATAGTTCCAGCCAATTATTCGGCCTACGAGTCATAGCTTTATGATAAACAATATTCATACAAACGATGCTATACACTAATAGACTTCCAAAAAATGTGAATTATTTTTCGTATATTTTTCAAAAAGAATTTAGCAAAGTCTTTCACATTATCCTATGAAAATAACCTTTTAAACATTTTGTTTTACAGACATAGAACCTGGCAAGTCGTGCACAAATTATCCCTAATGTCTTCAATTAAATATAAAGCGAGTTTCTTCCTCGACCACAGCATAACCACATAACCCGACAATTCACGATCACAAAAATCCAGATGCTCGTATCTCCACGTTTTAATTATCTGAATGGTACAGTCTAATAAATGTAAATGCATTAATTATACACTTTCATTTCGCTGTTAAGGGAAATCTGCTAAATTAAATCTGAACAATTCAAATAACAATAGAACT